TCCTCTGGTAAGCTTTCGTTTCGAGGAACCTTAAACCTTGGATTACAGCCGGACGAATTAAGTCGATCTCTACGCGCGCGTTCGATTTAGATTAATCTTTCATCGCGAAATATTGCGTCATCCTTAACACAATTGTCTAGTAAAAATGTGTCGGAACTAAAAATTTAGATCGGATTAGCCATTTTCCGTCCACTATAAAGCACGAAGAATAGAAACGATATATTTAATATATTATCAAGTGAATGGGACAGATTTCATTATATCTGTATTTAAAATCACTGCACTTGCAATTGAAATGATTAGTGAACAATGTAATTATACGTATTATTGTTATAAAATAACGGTATTGGTTCTCTCTTTTAAACGCGATATGCGTGACGAAGTGATACTTGATCTAGATGAGAGTCATGTGATAAAAAAAAGCAACATGCCGAAAATAGAAATCGACGTGCCATTCATGTCAAGCTATGCGAATTTACAAGTTGTTTTCCAGCTTTTGTCCTCTCGCCATCTCGATTCGATACACGATTCTATCGGATAAATGAACCTTTTAAATAATGTGCGCTCTCCGCGGAAGTCACGCTCTCGTAAGGTTACAACTGAATAAACATTCGAATCCACCGTTCTACTTCCGCCGTGTGTTCATCCGTTACCAGCGCAACAATTTACTTCCGCGACCGTGAGTTATTCTACAGCTTGTCGCCATAAAAGTGTGAGCGCGATGTTCGTGCAGCGAAGAGGTAGGATGAGAGCGAAATTGAATGTCTCGGGAAAAGAGCATTCGGTAAAAACGGAATCGCCTTGAGGACATCTGCTGTTTAAAAGTATTTGCGTAAAAAAAAATATTTTTACTGAAAATTTTCGATAAATATAATGCGAAATAATTATATTCTGTTTTATTTTTTTTTCCCAATAGAACGATAGCTGCAGATAAGTTACGATTTTTCCAAGATAATTGTTTCTCTCTCTCTCTCTCTCTTTCTCTAAAGACATAGGACTTTTAAATCAGTTTAAAACTTGAACAATAAAATTATATAAATAATTATGAGCACATATTTAATTTAACGATTAATACATTTAAATATTATTATCTTTTTTCCCATAATACACAATAATTCTGATTTTTATATAATACACATGTGAATATATAAAATAGGTTTTTCATTAATCATTTCATTTAATTAACGAATGTCCTATAATAATTTTCATGACTTTGCGATTTATATGCGTATTTATCATTTGAATATCTGAAATGCAATAATTAAACGCAAATGTCATTAAGTTTGATTAATCCATGATATTCTGGCATTTAATTTCCGTGCAAGCTCTCATCATAATTATAGAAGATAAATCAGAATAAGCTGTTGTTCGAGATAACCATTAACCCAGTTTTGGTAATATAAGAGCATGTCTCGCGCGTAGGATTTTCATATACTTTTATTTATCTACTTGCATATACATGCAAGGCGGCGAATAGACGTTGATTAAGTGTATTAGAATAGCTAATATTTCGTATGAAATGACTTCATTTTTAACAAGCAAATTATGACAAGGTGCCATGAATTTTTTCGTTTTATTACACAGCGAACGTTACTATACATATATAGAAACTAAGTGATGTAATAATTTTAAATTTTTAGACGAAGAGAGAAACGGAGAATAATGTATATTTTCAAATACATGAAATAGTACGTGTGAAAGAAAGAATGCATGATTATATATATTTCCCTAGAGCTATGTGAAATATGAGTTTCAACCTTCGATATTTCATACAAAAATATATATATATATTTTTAAATTGGATTAAAACATTAAATAATAAACAAGCGACACGAATATATTACAAATAAGCGATGCAAAGTTAATCAGCAATTTTACAAAAATATTTCGAGCGTTGTCCTAACTTTATTGCGCTCTTTTGCGTTTTTCTTCTCCGATAATTTGTACATAATCGGCGGTCTGATCATTTCGATAAACGGGGGCGAAAGAGAACATCGGTATGTACACCGGCGTACGTAAGAACTCTGAACTGGAAGAAACTTGGGCGATTAAATCTAATCAGATCGCGATACGAAACTTCGCCCTGCATTCTTTACCCTGTGAATTGTATACGCGCATTCTTCGGAGATCAAGGGAGGCATATCGGATCGCTCGGTCATTCCAATCACGTAGTCGAGTTACAGCGCGAGTCCTCCTATAGCTGAAGAAGATTCCGAGTGGTTGCCGGCGCAGCTCAGCGCTTTACAGTTTGCATACTCGTTGATTTACGAACGTGCGCTACGAGGAGAGGGCCACGGAATGTAATAGCGGACCCCGGGGTTTGTTATTGCCGGTGCACAACAATCGTTTGTATGCATTACTCTTTGCGGTGCCTGGCTTTATGCATATAATCTAGAGCCGGGGCTCTCAAGACGGGGTCGTTACCAAGACGATGTGCCAACCACGTCGGGAAAACGCCGTGTTTCTCTCACAAGCCGTGTCTCGACACTTATTGCGCGAATCTTGCCGATGGATGGGACGACGAATTATGCAATGCAACGTCACAAATTATGCAACCGTTTGTTAACACATAATTGCATTTTGCTGAAAAATTTATAACGTCGCGTTTTTCACGAAAATTTAAATTACTTTCTTTAATACTACCTTTTAAATTTTAAATACTATCTTTTATTATTTATTTTTCTTATTATTATTCCGTTACTTTTTATACATTATTTTTGAGTTTTTGGTACAATTAATCGAAACGTTTTGCATTAGTTAATTCCTGCGCGTGAACGAATACACAAAAGTACACATATAAATAATACTTTCACGAAAATTTAAATTACTTTCTTCAATACTACCTTTTAAATTTTAAATACTATCTTTTATTATTTATTTTTCTTATTATTATTCCGTTACTTTTTATACATTATTTTTGGGCTTTTGGTACAATTAATCGAAACGTTTTGCATTAGTTAATTCCTGCGCGTGAACGAATACACAAAAGTACACATATAAATAATACTTTCACGAAAATTTAAATTACTTTCTTCAATACTACCTTTTAAATTTTAAATACTATCTTTATTATTATTTTTCTTATTATTATTCCGTTACTTTTTATACATTATTTTTGGGCTTTTGGTAAAATTAATCGAAACGTTTTGCATTAGTTAATTCCTGCGCGTGAACGAATACACAAAAGTACACATATAAATAATACTTTCACGAAAATTTAAATTACTTTCTTCAATACTACCTTTTAAATTTTAAATACTATCTTTTATTATTTATTTTTCTTATTATTATTCCGTTACTTTTTATACATTATTTTGGGCTTTTGGTACAATTAATCGAAACGTTTTGCATTAGTTAATTCCTGCGCGTGAACGAATACACAAAAGTACACATATAAATAATACTTTCACGAAAATTTAAATTCTTTAATACTACCTTTTAAATTTTAAATACTATCTTTTATTATTTATTTTTCTTATTATTATTCCGTTACTTTTTACATTATTTTTGAGTTTTTGGTACAATTAATCGAAACGTTTTGCATTAGTTAATTCCTGCGCGTGAACGAATACACAAAAGTACACATATAAATAATACTTGAAAAGACAAGAAAAGGGATCTTCGTGTCTTTAATGAAATCTTCGAGAGCGTCAAATATTTGCGATGGAGCGTAACAGTTGGCAACACAATTGCGAGTACATGCGAGAATAATCGGAATTTGAGTTTTGCGCTCTTCTTTGGGGTTCTACAAATTTACTCAACAAAATTGGAAAGCGTATCCCCGCACTTTACCTTCGCGTTACCACGAATGTCTCGTTCGCGAGAGGAACTACCGATACCGGGTCAGATGTTCCTTCGTCGTCGCGTGAATTATCGACTTTACTCCTCCGCGCGCAATTCCATCCTCTTCGCTGGGATGCGCTTGGGAAATATTGAAGAATTTGCATATTTCGCGTCTCTCTTTCTCTCTCGGACGTGACTAACAGACATCATTATCTGCTTTATTTTTCATGTCTCATCGGAACATCGGCTGGCTGCGCTCATCCATGACTACTGATAATACTGGTGATGGCGACTCCTCTGTCTCTCTCTAACTACGGTGATGGTGCCTGCGGTAATACACTAACTTGGTGATGGTTACATTATACATGATTATATACGTACATATTTTACCATATATTCGCTTCATTTTGCGTTTTTTGCGTTTGCTTGGAAAAATATTGGAAATTTGCAAATGCTGTCGTTTATTAATATGTTCGAATGCCTGATATTAACATTATTTGAAATTGCTCGCCCTAATTGTCGCAAACTTTATACTGCGGAATAATAATACGGGATATTCTACGGTTTCGTCACGCGTTATTTCCGCACGCGGACTGTTACCACGCACTGCTACAATCATTTTGCCATTTCCTCGGAAACTTCTGCGACTATTCCCGCCCGTCCCTTTATTGGCCCCCGCTCGCGAAATTATCGCGCGAATCTGCATTTACATGCTGAAACGTCTGCGGTCCCGTCCGCAAACTCCATCGTCACGAACGATCTCCGCGTTAAATTCCGCAAATGTTGGCTGCTTCCCCTTGCCTCGCTATGTTAAACCGCGTATCGTGTGTAAACGAATCGACGCTGCTTTCGCTGGCGAATTGTTGCCATTGATACATCCGTGCCCGCTCCCACCAAACCAATCCACTTCGGCTGATCCACTCATTAATTACTCCCGATCCTCTTAAATTAATCACTGTTGTGGCGGCGACGTCATTACGGTTCATCGATCGATCTTCGATATCCGACCGTTCCAACTTTCCGCGCGTCTTCTCTCTTATATCCTACTATAATTTATATACGGCTTCCACGTTACCTCGCAATTTATTTTAACGCACGCTTTTCCTACCATTTATTTCTCCAACATTTATATTTCAATTATGTGTGCAATTTTATACGTTCTCCATTTTTACGCCGCGTCGCGTGGATTTCTTTTTTTTTTTTTTTAAACTGGATAGCCTTGTTGTCAGGCACCCTGAAGACCTATCAACGCGCAGCCTGCGACGAAGAAACGATGACATTGAAATGTCCACCCGGCACGACCATCTTAGTCGAACACGCTCAATACGGAAGAACGGGAATGCACGGCATCAGCAAATGCAACTCGTCCGTTGCCCCGATGATTGCGGAAGACGAGCCGACGAATCACACGTGCATCTGGCCGCAATCAGTGCAGGTATGTGCCAATGAAATTCTCATTTCCCGCTGGTGGATGCCGATTGAGCGAGAGCGCGCGCGCGCGCCGTTTTCTAGTTCTATAGCCGAAAATTGCTGCCGCATCGTAACGCGTTAATCGTTTTAATTGACTTGCGAGAGAAATGAAGGAAGAAATTGAGAATAAAATTTTAAGACGATTATATATATGAGATTTTCTTCTTTCGAAATATATATATATAGTTTTATCGCGCATCTTCGCGAAAACAGAAGTTTAATTTGCTCATTTATATTTTATTTCTTTGTTTTTCAAGAGTAATTAAAACTTTTCAAAGTTCTAATTACATTATTCAGCATCCTGTTAATAAAACAATTTGATTTATTTTCTCAATTAATAACTATACATATCAATAACTATGTATATAATCCTAACGTCTTAAATAATTGTAAATCTTGAAATTTAATAAGCGCTTAATGTGACATGTTTCTTTCGTAAGTTAAAAGCTTGATTACACACGTATACATACAAACATACACAAACTCTCGTGTATTTCTCGTGTAATAACGTAGCGAACTTTGCAAATTTGCAAGACTTGGTAAGACATGATCCTATCTTTCCGCTGAAAGTTTAATATTTGGACGTACTTTAGATTCCGATTATCTCCCGATTCTGCCTCTTCAGCAGCCGAAAGGAAGTTTCACGGGCTAAACTCCGAGCTGCCTAAACTCGAAAGTTTCAAAGAATCCAAACGTCGATCAAATATCAGACGAGTTATACATCCCTTTTATTATAACTGACATATTACACGATTGCTCATTGTACCTACCATAACTGTGAGAGACTTACATTGCTCACATCTGTTCGATTTCCGCGATAACACTTTTTCGTTTCTCGAGCTTCTCTCTCGTTTCGAAACTTTATTCAACGTTTTACATTTATTGGTTCCTTATTTCTAATCCAGAGAGGAGCACATACGTAGATGATATATATTCTTCTCGCGCATCCTCGTCTTCCTTCTACTTCGCATGGTTACCAAACCGGAAAGAATCGTAAACCGGATCCACCCCTCCTTCCTGGAGGAATCTCCGTACGCTTCAAGCCTCGTAAACTTTGCTCGGATGCGTGACCTCGTGCATGAATCGCAGTACACTCGTTGTTATCTTTAGGAAGATTTACACAGACTCCAGATTGCCGCAATCTTTTCTATCGCGATTATTTTTCCCCTACTTTACGTACTCTTATAAATGCAAAAAGTTACGTACGATCATTTAGAAACATCTCGATCTGTCGACACAAAAATAATAGTGCTTTGGCTTAGCCGATTATTAGTAATTTAATGTTTCACGATCTCGAAACAACATAAATAATTTTTTATAATTTTATTTAAATTATAGTTCAACGAAAAAGATACTAAATTTATTTTCACAGACTCCAGATTGCCGCAATCCTTCCTATCGCGATTATTTTCCCCTACTTTACGTACTCTTATAAATGCAAAAAGTTACGTACGATCATTTAGAAACATCTCGATCTGTCGACACAAAAATAATAGTGCTTTGGCTTAGCCGATTATTAGTAATTTAATGTTTCACGATCTCGAAACAAATAAATAATTTTTTATAATTTTATTTAAATTATAGTTCAACGAAAAAGATACTAAATTTATTTTCACTGATCCAGATTGCCGCAATCTTCCTATCGCGATTATTTTTCCCCTACTTTACGGACTCTTATAGATGCTGAGTTACGTACGATCATTTAGAAACATCTCGATTTGTCGACACAATAAATAATAGTGCTTTGGCTTAACCGATTATTAGTATTTCATTTTACGATCTAAAAACAACATTTTAAATAATTTTTTATAATTTTATTTAAATTTTTGTCGCGAAAAATATACTAAATTTTTTTCACAGACTCCAGATTGCCGCAATCCTTCCTATCGCGATTATTTTTCCCCACTTTACGTACTTTATAGATGCAAAAAGTTACGTACATCATAGAAACATCTCGATTTGTCGACACAAAAATAATAGTGCTTTGGCTTCACAATTATAGTAATTTAATGTTTCACGATGTCGAAACAACATAAATCATTTTATATAATTTTATTTAAATTATAGTTCAACGAAAAAGATACTAAATTTATTTTCCAGACTCCATTGCCGCATAGTTCCTATCGCGATTTATTTTCGCCCTACTTTACGTACTCTTATAGATGCAAAAAAGTTACGTACGACATTGTAGAAACAATTTGTAAACACAAAAATAATAGTGCTTTGGCTTAACCGATTATTAGTAATTTAATGTTTCACGATCTCGAAACAACATAAATAATTTTTTATAATTTTATTTAAATTAGGTTCAACGAAAAAGATACTAAATTTATTTTCACAGACTCCAGATTGCCGCAATCCTTCCTATCTTTGATTATTTTTCCCCTATTTACGTACTCTTATAGCATGCAAAAAGTTACGTACGATCATTTAGAAAATCTCGATTTGTCGAACAAAAATAATAGTGCTTTGGCTTAACCGATTATTAGTAATTTAATGTTTCACGATCTCGAAACAACATAAAAATTTTTATAATTTTATTTAAATTATAGTTCAACGAAAAAGATACTAAATTTATTTTCACAGACTCCAGATTGCCGCAAATCTTCCTATCCCGATTATTTTTCCCCTACTTTACGTACTCTTATAGATGCAAAAAGTTACGTACGATCATTTAGAAACATCTCGATTTGTCGACACAAAAAAATAGTGCTTTGGCTTAACCGATTATTAGTAATTTAATGTTTCACGATCTCGAAACAACATAAATAATTTTTTATAATTTTATTTAAATTATAGTTCAACGAAAAAGATACTAAATTTATTTTCACAGACTCCAGATTGCCGCAATTCTTCCTATCCCGATTATTTTTCCCCTATTTACGTACTCTTATAGATGCAAAAGTACGTACGATCATTTAGAAACATCTCGATTTGTCGACACCAAAAATAATAGTGCTTTGGCTTAACCGATTATTAGTAATTTAATGTTTCACGATCTCGAAACAAACATAAATATTTTTATAATTTTATTTAATTATAGTTCAACGAAAAAGATACTAAATTATTTTCACAGACTCCAGATTGCCGCAATTCTTCCTATCCCGATTATTTTTCCCCTACTTTACGTACTCTTATAGATGCAAAAAGTTACGTACGATCATTTAGAAACATCTCGATTTGTCGACACAAAAATAATAGTGCTTTGGCTTAACCGATTATTAGTAATTTAATGTTTCACGATCTCGAAACAACATAAATAATTTTTATAATTTTATTTAAATTATAGTTCAACGAAAAAGATACTAAATTTATTTTCACAGACTCCAGATTGCCGCAATCTTCCTATCCCGATTATTTTTCCCTACTTTACGTACTCTTATAGATGCAAAAAGTTACGTACGATCATTTAGAAACATCTCGATTTGTCGACACAAAAATAATAGTGCTTTGGCTTAACCGATTATTAGTAATTTAATGTTTCACGATCTCGAAATAAACTAAATAATTTTTTATAATTTTATTTAACTTATAGTTCAACGAAAAAGATACTAAATTTATTTTCTCTGATAACGTAAAATAAACTGCTCTCTTTTCTTATTGCATTAAGGATGATTTGGGACATTTATTAGATAAAGGAGTGTGTTAAAAAGTAGCTGATTTTTGCCTTCAAGACGGCAAGTAAAATTAACAATGTCATTCTTATAGTTTTTGGCCGTAGAATAACATGGTAATATTCATTTCCCTCCACTTTGAGAGCAAACGAAAATTACCATGTCATTTTACGACTAAAAAACATTATCAATTTTACTTGCCGGTTTGGGGGCAAAAATCGGCTGTTTTATTAACATACTTTTTTGAATGTTTTGTGTATTGCTGGAAAATATATATAATATATAGTGTAGCTTTTAAAATCATAACTCTTAAAAGGAAGTAATAATTTTTGCACGTAAAGCGATCCAATTTTTCCGCATACATAAAAATTATCAAATCACTTTTAACATTTTTAATGTTGCATTTAATTTTACGTGTCATAATAAAAACGTCTCGCAATAATTATCACACAATATATTTATTTTGAAAATTCTTTTCACAATGTTACTAAAAGTGTGGAAATTTCTCACATGTCGAAAAATCCTTAAATCATCTTATATAAATTTATAGATCTACAGTAAAGTGGAGATATATATTATACTCTCGCTTCCTTTTCCGCATTTCATTCCGCATAGTTTCAAAATTGCCAGCGAGTTCGTTTTAAGCGCGCCGAAAGGAAAGAGAGAGGTAGAAGAAGAGAAAGACAGAGAAGCTTTCGTCAAAGGCGACGAAAGTGTAGCAACTAAAATGTAACTGTAAACATCATCAAAGGAGGTTGCGTTGAAATTTTCGCAAAGATGATGATCGAACAAGTCGGAAAGCCCGGGGGAGAAACATTCGCGCGAAGGCACACGATTTACTCTCTCAACAGGAATATACAGCAGGCTCCAAGTACGGAAAGGAGGAGAAACTCCACGGGGAAAAGACCGTTGAGAATGTGCCCGCACGAAAACTTGTTTTCTTTGAGCTTAATTCACTGGCAATTACGGATCTCTCGCGCAAGGCGGAAAGAGAGAGATACGTCCCGCGTCGCGTCGGGGTTAAAATCTTGCGGTTTGCGGAATAATGGCAACTGACCTGAAAACGGCGCACCCCCTGTGTTTCGCGAAGCGTGCGACTGACAAATTCGTTTGAGGTCGCGCCGGCGAAAAAGAGACGGAAGGAAGGCAGCGAGAGAGACAGAGAGGGATTGAATTAGAACGAGAGAGAGAGAGAGAGAGAGAGAAAGCGACTTGGCGGTGTTGTAACAAGGTTGTCGTTGGTTGAGTAACATGTTCTTAGAGATACGCGACGCTTCATATCTCTTCTCCTTCGATATTAAATTATCCACTTACGAAGCTTGCAATTTCATCCCGGAAATCGAGTATAGGA